TGTTTTTTGTTTTTTCAAGATAGTCTTGTCCTGTCACCCAGGTTGGAGTGCAGTGGTGCGATCACAGCTCAGTCTGCCAAATAGCTGGGATTATAGGCACATGCCACTGCACCTGGCTACTTTTTGTATTTTTAGTAGAGACGGGGTTTCGCCGTGTTAGCCAGGCTGGTCTCGAACTCCTGACCTCAAATGATCCACCCACCTCAGCCTTCCAAAGTGCTGGGATTACAGGTGTGAGCCACCATGCCCAGCCATTAACTTTATAAATTTGATTTTTCACTATGCAACAGAATATGCCTATTTAGCCTTTATTTCAACTTTTTATTTCTATAAATTATATTTTTATTATATTTATTTTATATATGTAATTTGGATTTATTTGATTTTGAATATAGATTTTTATTCTCAGGCTGCTTTTCAAAAATTCTTTATGCATTGATCATATAACCAAGCCAAGATCTAGCATACAGGAAATTGTTAGTATTAATATTTTGAAAGATTTTGAGATTAAAGAGCAGGTTTTGAAAAATTAAGACTGTTAAAGAATGCATCAACATTTGTCATTTGATTTAACATATCTCCAAAATAATTGACTCCTGTTTTCTACTGTCTTAAAAACTAGGGTCAGTTGGATCTCTTAAGGAGCAATACAGGCCTTTTATATAGAATAAAGGACTCTCAGAATGCTGGGTAAGTACCTATTTTTCTAATTTTAAGAAAATTTTTATTATTGCAAAAGTAATGTATGTTTTGAGATTAAAGCTAATACAAAATTACATAAACCTGTCCTGTGTATGCCAGCTATGATATATTCCATTTCCCAGAGGTAACTGCTTTTAATAATTTAGTATATAGCCTTTCTTCTAACTATAATAAAATACACATAGATGATTATATATTTATATATAATCTTTCTTTCTTTTTTTAAACACAAATGGAATCATGCTATCCATTCTGTTTTGCAACTTGTTTTTTTCACTTACTGTATCTTGGACATCTTTACATGTTGGTACACACAGCTCTATCTCATTCTTTTTAAGGTAAGCCTCTTCTTTTGGTAAATATGTCACTGTGGTGACCCTGTCTGCTAATTTTGTTTAAGTAGTGATGTAGATTATTAGATTATCCTATAGTCTGTACCTTATTAATTTTACTTTGTTCCCCTGCAGTAAAATGAAGGGATCAGATAACCAAGAAAAACTAGTATATCAAATCATAGAGGATGCAGGAAATAAAGGTAAGCATATGAAGGATGAGGCAGAAAAAAAAAACATGGTTTTTGGAACTAGATATAGGGACCCAGATCTCAGCTTCCCAGGGTAGAGCTCGGTGAACAGAGTATGTTGAGGAAGGGAACAGAACATACAAATATAACATGCATGTGCTTGAAGGACACCCAAGAGTAAGGCCACTGTTGCCTTGAAAGAGACAAGAACCAGAGGGGTGTGGCCAGAGATGGAAAAAGACTTCTGAATTCTGAGTCACATGAATGTTTTATCTATTCAAAATAAATAAAACTTAAGTTTTTTAAAAAGAAATCCTTGTATTGTAGCTATATGCCCATGGACAAGTTACTTAAACTTTGCGAGCTTCAGTTTCTTCATCTCATCTATAAACTGTGGATGCTGACACCTCTCGTTTTTACAAGGACCAAAAGGAAAGCTGGTGTGGTGTGGCAGTGTCTTAACAGATGTCCCTCAGCAGCTACAGTTCCTCTTCTACCCACTTGAAGGACTGTATCTAGATTGTAATCCTAAATTATAATAATTTAGGATCTATTTGATTCATTGATATTAGCTTGAAAAATTGTGATATAATCGGAAATTATAGAACTAATTCTTATATTTATTAAAATGTAAATTTTTAAACATTTTTTAAAATAGTCCTATGAGAAAGCCATTCTGCATATTTTTTTAATCTTCCTATCTCATTAGGCCACTACACTGGGAAGAAAATAAAGCAAAATATTTACATACATTCCCTTTCCATATATAACACTTATTTCCAGGCCAGGCACAGTGACTCATGCCTGTAATCCTAGCACTTTGGGAGGCTGAGGCAGGCAGATTGCCTGAGCTCAGTAGTTTGAGATGAGCCTGGGTAACAACGGTGAAACCCTGTCTCTACAAAAAAAAAAAAACAAAAAAAACCACTTATTTGAAAAAGAAATAATAGCTTCTCATACAGGGCTTTTAGCAGCCATAAGAACCCTAGACTTCCTTTTCCATCTCACAGATACAATGTTCTATAAATAATGGGTTACGCGCATGCAGACGCTCATCTAAAGAGTGTTTTTGTCCTAGTTGAAGATGTTAGTTGACTTTGACCCAAATTTGTTTTTCACATTTACAATCTAAAATGAAAATATCAGAAAACACAGATTAGGGTACAGAAGATGATGGAAGGCAATGATATAAGTTAATTCAGTTGCAGCCATGATTTTTCCTTCCATTTAAAAAAATGCCCTTTTCATATATATATATATATATATATATATATATATATAT